TCTGGTCTGACCTTCCTTCATCCGATTACTACCCCACTCTTTGTTGATTAACAAGTATGGTTTTGGTAATACACTGTTACCTCACTTAACTGCCACCACTGTGCCCTAGATCGCAATCTTCTTGTGTTAATTTTCAGTCTACCTGATCTTTCCTACAACCATCCCCACAATCTACTATTGTTGTATATGTAATACATTGTCCAAGGTTTATTATCAATTGGTACTGTACATACCCTTGATTTGTTCCTCTGTAGATGACAGACAAGTAAGATCATCTGTTATTTGTACTTCTACCTATAGCTTATTTTTCTCAGCATGATACCCTCACGAATGGCATAATTTTATTTTTTGTGACTGCATAGTATTCCATTGTGTATATACCTAAACTTTTTAATACAGTTATCTGTTGTCGGACATTTGCATTGCTTCCTTATCCTGGCAATTGTACTGTTACAATGAACAGAGGTGTGTTTATATCTTTCTAAATTTTTTTTAATGGGGGGGGTTCGGTGTGTAAAAGTAGAACTGGGTCATATGGGAACTCTGTTCTTTCTTTTATTAAGAGCAGGAGTTGGACCACACCTGGATGTTCTCAGGGTTTCCTCCTAGCTCTGTGCTCAGAGACCACTCCTGATGGTGCTGGGAGTGCACAGCTTGACGGTATGGAAGACAAGTGCCTTCCTCTCGGTGCTTTATCTCTGGTATCCCCATGCTCACTTTAGGGGGAAATTTCCATATTGTTTTCCATAGAGGATGGACAGATGGCATTCCTACCATCAGTGGATGAGGTTTCCTTTTAGTCAAACCCACCAACACTGGTTGTTTCATTTCTTTGACATATGTCATTCTCATTGGTGTGACGTGATCTCTCACCACTTTGATTTGTGTTTCCCTTATGCTACATATTGATAAATGCTTTTTCATATGCTTATTGGATGTCTGTATGTATGTCCTCTGTGGAAGTGTCTTTGCATCTCCAGCTTTGATGGATTTAGTAATTTTCTTGCTGCTAAGCCTCGTGAGTACTTTATAAATTTGGGATGTTTTCTTTTTATGTAATGTATTATGTGAAAATTATGATCTCCCAATCGTCAGGTGTTTTTTAGCTTATTATTTTGCCATGCATCAGCTTTGTACTTTCATGTAGTCTCATTTTCTTATTCTAAACATAGTTCTTAATGGAGCGACAGCACAGTGGTGGGGCATTTGCCTTGCATGCAGCCAACATGGCCGACTCGAGTTTGATTCCTCCACCCCTCTCGGAGAGCCCGGCAAGCTACCGAGAGTATCTTCCCGCCCTCACGGCAGAGCCTGGCAAGCTACCCGTGACGTACTCCATATGCCAAACACAGTAACAACAAGTCTCATGATGAAGATGTTACTGGGCCTGCTCGAGCAAATCAATGAACAACGGGAGGACCGTGATACTGTGACCGAATGGTAAAAGGATGTTTTTCCTCTTTCTTGTCAGTATCAGGAATTGCCACCTTGTCTCTTCTGTTCAGTATTGTACAGAAAGCTTTAGCCTGGGCAATAAGGCAGAAATTTCTTTAAAAGTCAGCTATGGGGGCTGGAGCAATAGCTCAGCAGGTAGGGTGCTTGCTTTGCACGCAGCCGACCTGGGTTCAATTTCCAGCATTCCATATGGTCCCCCAAGTACCGCCAGGAGTGATTCCTGAGTACAGAGCCAGGAATAACCCTGAGAATCGTCGGGTGTGACCCAAAAAGCAAAAAAAAAAAAAAGTCAGCTAGATTGGTAAATAAGTAAAATTATATTTTCAGATGAATAATCGTGGATATAGAAAATCATGGGGAATTGACTAAAATATTAAAACTAATTAATGAGTTTATCAAGTGACTTAATGTTAATATATAATAATTGCAATTCCATACTTAGCAATGAACAATCCAATTTAGTAAAATTTCCCAAACCTTTGCTGAATAGCTCAATTTTTATAATTGTTTATTTCACATTAGTTTATACTTTATATCACTTTCTATGATTTCCTTGTTATTTGTAAGATACTAAATCTTTAATTATTGAATTTATTTATTCAGTTTTTCTTACATATTTTGGTTAAGATATTATCTTGAACCTAATTTGAAGTTCACTTTTATATGGAAAGATAGTAATCTTGTATTCATTTCTATGTGGTTAGATAACCTAAATTATATCTTTTTTTCATTATTTTATTCACAAATCACAAATCATCCTGTTAATCGTCGATTGCCTTGAGCAGGCCCCAGTAACGTCTCCTTCATCCTAGCCCTGAGATTATATTCAAGGCTCTTTAGGAGAATGAGACCCATCATTGTTACTGGTATTTGGCATATTGGGTACGCCACGGGGAGTTTGCCAGACTCTGCCGTGTGGGCAGGCTACATTCGGTAGCCTGCCAGTTTGTCCAAAGTAGGAATGAGATAATAAGATGTCATAATAGGATGTCACGCGGCCGCAAATATGACTGCGCGGTTCCAGGAGCTGGTTTTTATAGTCTCTGAGTCTTGGCTGCCAACGGGACCACACGGCGCCAAGGGGCCAGCTGGTGGGCGTGACCCCCGCCTACTGGAACCTGGAGGATCTGGGTGGAGGATGCTCGGCCCAAATCCGAGTAGGCTTGGAGATCTCGGCCCCGGAACCCACGTGACTTTGTCCCTCTGCCAGTATCTTCATGTGTGCGGAGAGTGGTCTCAGCATGGTGGTGGCTGGTCCTGGAGGTCTTTGGCTGCTGGAGCCCTGGTCGGGGCGGGGAGGAAAGCTCAACCCGCTCCCCTCCAAGGGGCCCCAGCGGCGAGGACAGTCAGGTGCGGGGGCATTATTTATTTATTTATTTATTTTTCTTGTATTTATTTATTGAATCACTGTGGGAAAAGTTACAAAGCTTTCAGGTTTAAGTCTTGGTCATACAATGATCAAACACCTTTCCCTTCACCAGTACTCCTTTTTCACCACCAAGAACCCTAGTATACCCCCCTCCCACCCCTCTCAATGCCTGTGAAGCAGATCATTTCTACTTAACTCTTCTCTACATTGATTATGTTCATTATTTTGACAAAAGATGCACCATTATTGTTTAGAATTCCTCCCCCCAACAATCAGAATTGCTGAAAAGGCATTGTGAAATACTTTGTTTTCTATAGCTGGTTATGAGAATCATGTAATGATTTTGGATTTCTGCAAAGAGACAGATAATTACGAGATTGGTTTCTGTGTGTCTGGTGTTATGGCTGTGCCAGAGAGCCACTGGTTGGGGGCAACTCGTGACCTTGGTAGGGCGTGAAGGATGAGCCGGTACCCCTTCGCATGAGACCGCAGTTGCCTGTCACCGCCGGCTCATACCTGGATTTCCAATAAGCTATGAGGTGGTGGCCACCTTGCTGCCGGAGTGGGGGGAGGGAAGGCGGAAGGGAGCAACACCCTTTCCCTCCCAGGGAGGCATGGAGCTGTAGTTTAATGCATGGTCCATTCACTTTTCTGCCACAAGCTGCCGGGCACTGGATTAAGTCCTTTTGCCTCTGGAGCCGTGGCCGTGCCAGAGAGCTGCTCATGGGGGGCAACTCGTGACCTCAGTAGGGCATGAAGGACGAACCGGTACTTCCCCCTTTCCCATGAGACAGCAGTTGCCCCGTCACCGCTGGCTCACACCTTTTTTTTTTTTTTCTGAGGCGGCGGCCACCTTGTATGCGGTCCAGATACATTTCTGCCAAAAGCCTACTGGGTTTCAAGATTTGTTTCTGAGTCTCTAGGATCATGGCCGTCAATCAGCTTGATCAGGAGCCAGAGAGGCCATTTGTAGGCGGTGACTCGGGGTCTTGTTGGGATGGGGAGGAAAGGGCTGGTTCCACCCCCATCTGGTGAGGCCCCACGTGTCTCGTCACTGCAGGCCCAACCTGACTGTCCAGTGGCCTCTGAAGGATGGCGGTCACCGGGCCGCCAGGGAGAACAGGCCAACGCACAAAATCTATTCCCACCTGGAGTGGCCCAGCATCAGTAATCTGCTGCAGGAACAGGACGCATTTCTGCCAAAAGCCTTTGGATTTTGAGATTCGTTTCTCAGTCTCTGGGATCATGCAGTTCAATCAGGAACCAGAGAGGCCATGCCTCCAATTATATAGCTGAGCCCAAGGTGGTTTGTGGGTGTGTCTCCCACATACCTAACTTTTGGCTGTTTACTTTCTTGGTAAACTTTGCACCAAGTTTTTGGGGCCTGGCCAAAGGCACAAAAGCAATTTTGGGGTATCTGAAAGTCTGACGTTGCCATTAGGCTGCTGATGCACTCGCCTCACAGGTACAGATTGACCTGCTGGTGGCACCATACCCCCACCTAAATTATATCTTGTATAGAAAGTTCTTCTCCTACCTGTCTAACCTTCGCCCCAACAATATCATTATTTATTTCTTTTTTTCTTAGAGCTTAAAGTTAATCTCTGTATACTTGGTATATTTTATGAGATGAGAATAGTTTCTTTTCCTTAATAGAAAAGGCTAATTTTTATTTGAAGAACTATTTGGGTTACAATCATATATTAGGTTCAAGCTATGAAAAAACTCAGGTTTTCCACAGGTTTATGTGAGAGGGAATATTCAGTTTCTTTTTGTCTTCCTTAGTTATGGAGTATAATAATGTTCAAAAAGGCAGGTAGGGAGCTCACCTAACTCGGGACAAAGAGTGGTCACAGATAACATCACTTCAGCCATGTAAAAATATATAAAGAAATATCAAAGCTAAAAATCAAGTTTTTTCAGCACTTAGATTACCAAGTTTTAACTGAAATTAATTTTCTGATATGATCTGAAAGTTGGAGGCAGTGAAACTGTTAATTTATGTATGCGGTGTTTGTGTGTGTATGTATATTTGGTACAAAGATAAAAATCTCTAATCAAGAAATTAAAAGTGGGTGTTCATTTGTAATACAGTACAGGTAACTCTGTTAATCTTTGATAATACAACTGAGTGGAAGAATGGGCATAGTTTAAATAATATCCTATTTTTGTACAGATGGAGAATGAGTTAGATTCTGCTCGTTCTGAAATAGAACTCCTTAGGAGTCAGATGACAAATGAGAGAATCTCCATGCAGAATCTAGAAGCTCTGCTAGTGGCCAACAGGGACAAAGAATATCAGTCTCAGATAGCGCTGCAAGAAAAAGAGTCCGAAATTCAGCTTCTCAAAGAACACCTTTGTTTGGCAGAAAATAAAATGTGAGTTGATTGGCAATATAATAACATTAAGTCAGATTTCCTAAGTTTTTTTAAAATTCTTTTTAGGTGATTGGGAATTTATTGAAAGTGGAATTAGGAAATTTAGTGCTGATAACTTTCTGTTACGAAAATTGAGGGCCAGAAATAAGGTTAATTGGCAAAAATTTAATACTTATTTCTAGTATATGTTTTACCTGATTGTACCTAAATTTATGACTTTCTTTTGCTATCTGTTGGGGTCCACTTGTTGATTTTCTTTTATAGTTTTGGATATAATAGGATATGATAGACTATATGAAATTTACCTTGTGGAAGTAATAAACAAGATTGGAAAAAATATTAAGCATTTCTGAACCTAGAAGAATTTTCCTATGCCTAGACCCATCTAGCATTACTACTTAGTCTTTCCATTTGTCACAGTTTTTCTCATGTACCTGTATTTTATATTGGATACCTAGAATTGTTGAATTATTAGGATACTTCCCCAAAGCATTAACTAAAAATTTTAAGTGCGTGCTGCTATAGTTTTATTTGATTTTGTTTTGTACCACACCCAAAAGAGCGCAGGACTTACTCCCACCTCAGTGCCCAGGGGATACTTCTGGAGGTGTCAGGAATCAGCACATTTAAGGCTGATCCTTCTCCCCAACTATCTCTCCTGCCTCTAGTGTTGTTTTAACTAATTTATTTATTTATGTATGTGTGTCTTGGGACCACAGCAGGCTTACTCCTGACTTTGCACTCGGGTCACTCCAGGGGTGCTCAGGGGACTGTATGAAGCACTGGGACTTGAGTTCGGGTTGGCCAGATGCATGGCGCATGCCATGCCTGCTGTCCTACGCTTTTCTCTGGCCCCTGAGTTTTGTTTTTTAAAAGAGCCCGTAGCACCAGCTAGCACACGGCCCCAACTGAAGGGGGCTGATCACATCTCAGGAAACGGGTCAGAACCCGTTGCCTCTCTTCTGCACTGTCGTCTATCTATAACATTTTCTCATTCAGTTTCAACCCCACCCTTCTACCTGGGGAATAGTTAGAAGAATGACTTCTGGAATCAGCTATTTATAGGAGGACTCTTTGCCTAAGGAACATGCAAAACTAGAGCCAGTTTCCATCAGAGACAGTTTGAGCTCGTGGCAGCAATGAGAGGGCCCTTCTTTGCTCACTGCAGGTGGACTTTTGGGATATTTCAACCGATGCTGCAGGATCATCTTTTTAAGTGGGTGGGCAGAAATCCACCTTAGTGAAGGATGCCTAAATTCTTACTTTAGGGATGCATTCTGTTCATGATGGTTGGTCAATACTATGGATCAGAACTGAGAAGTGTAAGCGTCTGTGTTCTTAGTCTCTGCCTCAGAGAGATTCCTTAGACTTCCCGGCACTCAGCTTTGCCATGACTCCCTTAGGATACTCTAAATTCTCACAAGGTTTTTGAGGTGTTCTTTAGCCCCAAGAAAGTGCATGTTAATTGAAGATTTTTATGTTTTTTTATGTATTTAAAGATGTGTGAATAAATTTCATTATAAGTACATATAAAGTACTAGGTTGACTAAATGTTTGTACACACATATATGAAGCACACATATATATGAATCATTGTATTAATGAATTCTATGTGGTTATTTGATATTATTACTCTGCGTACAATACCACAATGTTCCTTAATAATATTATTTATGGATTAATAAATATATTGTTGATAGATTATGCTATTATTAATATATAAAGAGAACGAATTCTATGTAGTTATTTGATATTATTACTCTGCGTACAATACCACAATGTTCCTTAATAAAATTATTTATGGATTAATAAATATATTGTTGATAGATTATGCTATTATTAATATCTAGAGATACATAATAAATATTACCCCATCTAAACATAAAAACCCCAAGAGTAGTGTTAACTGGTTGAATGAGATGGACCAATTTAGGATTTTCAGGGAAGCTCCCATGCATATTTATTATCTAAAATTTGCACACTTTAAATATACTAAATACATCTGCCCACAAAAAATATCACAATTTGACCTAAATCCAGCTGAAAAATGGTTGCCAATATGGTTTCATTTATGCGAGGAGCCCTGGAAATATTTGATCAACTGTTACTCATGTATTTTTTTTACTCAGGGCCATCCAAAGTAGAGATGTTGCCCAGTTCCGAAATGTTGTTACACAGTTAGAAGCTGATCTGGACATCACCAAGAGACAGCTAGGAACTGAGCGCTTTGAAAGGTCAGTTTATTTCCATGCAGTGTTTGCTCTAAAGGTTTTTTCTTAGATTACAAAAGATTTTGCCCAGTTGTAATCTAACTAGTTCATAGTTAAAGTTTTGGGTTTTAAAGTATGAATTAGTTAGATTTTAAAGTATGAATTGTGCTGTAGTTTTGCAAAAGTATCAAATATAACACTGACGGGAATAATTGTTTTGCTTCAGGGAGAGGGCGGTGCAAGAACTTCGCCGCCAGAATTTCTCAAGCAATGCCTATCACCTGAGTTCCTCACTAAAACAGAATGCCAAATGTCATTCCCCAGAGCGTGTTCACCATCGCTCTCCTGACCGAGGCCTAGACCGATCATTAGAAGAGTAAGTGGGTCAAGGATTCATTCTTTTGGGATCATTTAGCAGTATGCACAACGAATTTTTGAGGAAGCAAGAGAATTAAATACACTTACCATTAATAGTTCTATTTAAATATTATGATACGTTGACATAAAAGTAATGTGTATTGCTAAATTATTTTATATAAACATATTTATAGAAATATAATTATCTTGATTTACATAAATTATATTTCAAAACATAATGTTCTTTTTATTTATACCATATAATTTTCCATATATTTTATTAACAAAATGTTGGTTAATTACTATCGCACCATAAAATGTATTATCCCAGGAAAGTAATAAATCATTTTCTTAGGAAATTATTTTAGATATACTCATGTCACAAATTTTATAAAATTTTTTAATTTGGAAAGAATTTCTAACTCATAAGAAGTTCTTTATAAACTGTTTTTTTATAAACCTGTAAGAAGTAATTTTCTCACTCAAGCACTCAAACGTGTTTGAGTTTCTGCTTATAATTAGAGAATTCTTTTTCTAAATAGACAAATTCACTAATGGTTATTTTGTAGTTTTGTTTTTCTATATTTAGATTTCAGATACATTTGAATTTTGTTTTTACATTATGTGAGGAATGGATCTAATTTTATTTTTTTCAAATAAATATTCAGTTGTCCCAACATCATTCATTTAAAATACATGTTCCACTGATTGAAGTCTCTTTCTAGAATTTTCTTTGGGCCTATTTGTCAATTCTGCACTATTTATTTGTGGTAGAATCCTAATGTTTAAATTTTGAACAACTGATCTGATGGCACACTTGGATCTGATGGCATACTTGTCAACGGTCTCCCCCACCCAAAAGGGTGTAAAAAACCCTAATTTGTAGCACTGCAGCACTGCAGCACTGTAGCACTGTCCTCCCGTTGTTCATCGATTTATTCCAGCGGCCCCAGTAATGTGTCCATATCGAATACATCACAGGTAGCTTGCCAGACTTTGCCGTGCGGGCGAGATACTCTCTGTAGCTTGCCAGGCTCTCCGAGAGGGGCAGAAGAATCTAACGCTGGTTGGCCGTGCCAGCCACGTGCAAGGCAGATGCCCTACCTGCTGTGCTATCGCTCCAGCCCTTAGCAATTTCTGTGGTAGAAATAGTTTAACTCTAGGCAGACATGCTCAGTTTCATGCTACCAATTGTGTAATTTAAATTTCATAAGATTCCTAAGTATCACATAAGTCCTTTCATTCAGTGTACTTTCTTTGTAATGTTGATGGGAAAAAGAGCAATCCCAGTCAATGTATAATGAAAGGACTCAATGTTTAATGAAAGGACTCATTCTTCACTTAAGATCAGAGTCTGAAAACATACTACAAATAGAGTAAGGACTCACCGAATTTAGAATCAGGTGTGAATCAGATCCAGCATACCAACAGATTACTCATCCTCCCTCCCTCCCTCCCTCCCTCCCTCCCTCCCTCCCTCCCTCCCTCCCTCCCTCCCTCCCTTCCTCCCTCCTTTCTTCCCTCCCTCCTCTGCCTCCTTTCCTCTTTCTCTCCTTCCCTCTTACCTTCCTTCTCCCCTCCCTCCCTCCCTCCCTCCCTTCCTCCCTTCCTGCTCTATATTTAGGGCTCACTTCTGGTGAGTTCAGAATACCATACAGGGTACCAGGGATTGAACCCAGGTCAGCCTTGTAAGGAAGCATTCTACCCACTGCTCCAGTCCATTTCTTTTCTTTTTTTTTTAAATTTAATCACTGTGAGATTTAGTTACATACAAGCTTTTATGTTTGAGTTACTATGTGCAAACACCCATCCCTCCACCAGTGCACATTTCCTACCACCAATCTTCCCAGTATGCCCACCCCCCATTTCCCACCATCTCCTTGCCTCCATGGCAGACAGTTTCCCCCGTACTCACTCACTCTACTTTTGGGCATTAGGGTTTGCAATACAGATACTGAGAGGTCATCAAGTTTGGTCCTTTATCTACTTTCAGCACACATCTCCCTTCCTAACAAATACCTCCAACCATCATTGACTTAGTGATCCCTTCTCTATTCCAGCTGCCTTCTCCCCCTACTCATGGGGCAGGTTTCCGACTGTGGGCAATCTTCCTGAGCCTTGTCTCTACTGTCCTTGGGTTCAATCTCATGTTATGTTGTTTGCTTGTTTTTTAATTAATTTTTTTCTCATTTATTTTTTCCATATGAGCGTTAGGGCCAACTTCTCTAACTCGATCTTGATATACATTTATTGGATTAAAAAAATTAAGATCATTTTCAATTTATAAACTAACTTGGGGAGAACAAATGGATCGATAATTTTGAGGCATCCCAGCATTTGTTAAGATGTCTTCCTTTTGGTTGAAGGTCATTCTATATCTTTCAGGAATGGCTTATATTTTTGTTTATGTACATTTTGAATATTTCTTGTGTTTTTTCCTAAAATATTTTATCTTTCTGTTGTTTTTAACAAGAGGTTTCACCCTAATTTTTCTATTTTCAAAATGTACTTTTGGGGCGAGGGCCAGCCTAGAGCTGGAGCACATGCTGGCCTGGCACTGCTGCCCCTGGGTGCCAGGGGGCTCACACTTCCTTCAGGGCGTCTCTCACCACCCAGCTCAAAGACGACACTCTGAAAATACTCTTTAGGCTTTAGGATGATCTTGCTACCGTACATCATATTTTCATTGTTTTACTACATTGATTCTTTAGGCTTTTCCACGCACATTACACAGTCATCAACAAACAGATCATTCCATTTTTTTCCTATTTTTAATCTCCTTAATTAACTTTGGTTAATTATGTCAATAACTTCAAGAATGATGATCAATAGAAGTTAGAAAATGGGCGTCCCCATGTTGATTCTGTAGCAACCTTTCCTTTAAATAAAATGTCCTTTAGTATTGAAGTACATATTTCATTTGATATTAAAGAAATATTGCCTCTATAAATTTTCTTAAGATTTGATATTGTGAAGGAGTGTTAAATTTTGTCAAATATATTTTAGCATCTATGAATATACTTTTTTCTAACTGTAGAACTCTTAAGTTTAATTATATCAACATATACAGATATGTATTGACTTACCTCATAAATTAGTATTTTATGTTAATATTACCATATTTTAAAGCATTGAACCATTTTAAAATTTTTGTTATAAGCCCCTCTTCACCAGAGATTTTTCTTTAGTGTTTTCCAATATTTTATTTGTTTTAGATTTTTGTATCAATTCACAGAAATACTGGTTTATAATTGCTTTTTTGTGTTAACCTTATAAAGTTTAGATATAAATGTTTTATTTTAAAGAGAAATTTGATATTTTGGGGGAAGAATTTGAGAGAATTCTAATATCTGATGATTTCACTGAATTCATTTTTGGAATAACACCTCTGGTGAAAGCCTTGGTTCTGTGTGTGTGTGTGTGTGTGTGTGTGTGTGTGTGTGTGTGTGTGTGTTTGTGTTTGCTTATATATGTGCTTGTGGTATTTTTTTTTGATAATTTTTCTTATTTTTCCTTTGGAAATTGATTTTTTAGGCTTTCTATTTCAACTCTTTTATAAATTGTTTCCTTGAGGTTTCCAAGTTTATTTGCATGCATGTTACTAAAGTAATATCTTACTAATTTTTAATTTTCCTCCATCAATTGTTGCATATGTTGTTCTTTCTTACTTGATATGTATACTACTGTTTCTTGTAGTACATCCTGTTTCTTGATTACTTTAGCCAGTGGTTTATTTACTTCATTCATTGCTTCAGAGAACCAGCATTTGATAGAACAATTTGATCCACCATTTTTAGTTAATTAATAATATTAATATTCTTTTACTGTATTATCTTGTAATTTACTTTTTTTGATTATTCACTGTCTTTTTGAGTTAGGAATTTATTAACATTTATTTTCACTTTTTATTTAAAACTTTCACTATTTATTGTTGGCTTATAGTATATGCTTCAAGTGTGGCATTATAGTTCAGTATTTGTATGTGCTTCAGCACATACAAATACTGAAATGGTCTCCACTGAAAATTTAGTTTCCACCTACTACCATGTAATTGACCCTTTCCCCCAATTTTAACATTCATTTTTATTGATGTAGATTTTAGAACTATAAATTTTCCTGTGATAATTGCTTTAAATATGTCCCCAAGATTATGATAGTATTTCATCATTATATTTAAAAATCCTGTAAGTGATAGAAGAAAATATCTTGATGGTCAATGAAAAGGACTTTTTGTGTTTGTTTTCATTTCTTATTTTTATTATTAGTTTGTATTTAAAACTTTTATAATTTATATTTTATGAACTACTGATATTTTCTTTGTACTTTCAGTAATCATATTTTGTGGAAAGTTCATTGCACTTGAAAAGTTTGTCAAAAATATTTATCTTTAAAATTTTATTTGGCTTTTAAAATATTGTTTACTTTTGTCCACTTGACTTATTTTACTAAGAATACTGTTTTTTAAATTTATTATTGACATGTTTTTTAGTTTTTATATATTTTTTTGTATTTCATCTTATATAGGTAGTTTCCTTTTTTGTTTCATACATATATTGAATTTATTGTGGAAGGTGGTTTTTTCTAGACTATCTTTTTCTGATGCTTTTGATTCTTTTTGGAGTGAGTAGGGACCTGATATCTATTTATACATTAGAGTTAAAACTCCTGTGTCAGGGGGTATGGTGCTGCCAGCAGGTCAATCTGTACCTGTGAGGCGAGTGCATCAGTAGCCTGATGGCACCGTCAGACTTCCAGATACCCCAAAATTGCTGCTGTGCCTTTGGCCAGACCCCAAAAACTTGGGGCAAAGTTTACCAAGAAAGTAAATGGCCAAAAGTTAGGTAGGTGGGAGACACACCCACAAACCACCTTGGGCTCAGCTATGTAATTGGAGGCATGGCCTCTCTGGTTCCTGATTGAACTGCTTAATGACCATGATCCCAGAGACTGAGAAACAAATCTCGAAACCCAGCGGCTTTTGACAGAAATACATCCGGATCCCGCAGTAGGTTACTGTCACCGGGCCACCCCAGGGAGGAAAGGGTGCTGTCCCTCCACCTGCTCCCTCTTGGTGACTCGGTAGCCGCCATCCTCCAGAGGTCATTGGACAGTCAGGTTTGGGCCCACAGTGACGAGACACGCAGGGCCTCACCAGATGGGGGTGGAACTGGCCCTTTCCTCCCCACCCCAACAAGACCCCAAGTCGTCGCCCACGAACAGCCTCTCTGGCTCCTGATCAAGCTGCTTAACAGCCATGATCCAAGAGACTCAGGAACAAATCTTGGAACCCAGCAGGTTTTGGCAGAAATCCCTCCAGACTTAAGTGTTAAAATTTCGAAATTTCAAAATCGCGCAGCCACTACTGCAGCCATGCAACATCTTATGTTATTCTTAACTAGCAATAGAAAACAAATTGTCTGCTCTTGCCTTTTCAGCATATCTGAGTGTTGGGGTAAAATCCCAAATAATAATGGTGGGTCTGGTGTCAAAATATTGAATATGATCAAAGAGAGAGAGAGAGTAATGTGGAAATCATCTGCCCCACATGAAGGGGGAGGGTGTGGGATGGGGATATATTGGGGGTTTTGGTGGTGGAGAATGGGCACTGGTGAAGGTACGGGTGTTTCATTGTAAGACCCAGACTTAAACCCAAAAGCCTTGTAACTGCTCTCACGATGATTCAATAAATAAAATTATAAAAAAAGAAAAAAACGTAAGGTGGAGTTCATGCCCAATTCAATCAGCTAATCAGTGGCTGAATAAATAGCAGTACTACTACATTAAAAAAAAACTCCTGTGTCATCCGTCTGTAAATCTTCCATCTCTTTATTATTTAAGTATTTAATTTTAAGCGTCTCAAATATAATATAGATTTGAATTTTATTTCATAAGCAATTTTGAAATTCTTAATTTTATTTTATTTTTTTTTTGTTATTGAGTCATCGTGGTTTTCAGTGTGACTCATAGTTGAGTTTCAGGCATACAGTTTCAGCTCCATCCCATCACCTGTGTCACCAGCTGCCCTCTTCCAAGCTCCCAGTTTCCCTCCCACCCGGCAGGCACATTTTAAGTTTGGTTGTTGTGATTTGGATCTCATGCCTTTAGTTTCATTGAAATCCTTTTTGAAAATAGGTTTAAAAAAGTTAGGCTCCTTGTCTTTAACATGTGAAATTTGGAAGATTTTGGGTTTGTGGGGCAGGGTGCAGGGAATTGCAAATGTTTAGGACTTACTCCTGGCGGCACTTAGGGGTACATAGATGGTGCTGGGTTTGAACCTGGGTTGACTGTGTGCAAGGCAATCCTGCTCTCTGTGCTATTGCTCCAGCCCATGTCAAATTTAGAACAGATAGCTTTAGGACAAACAATAGAACAAGGTATATTATGATAGCTATGTTTTGTGAGATTTATTATTTCTTTATCGATTTTCTTTAATTTTTCTTTGCCTTTGCACTTTTTTGATAGTCAGAAAGGTTTGTATCTTATTTTTTACTATTTTTATTAATGCACTTAATCTCCCTGTTTTGCATGACCTTGCAAAATATTATCTTCAAATGATAGCACTTCTATCGATTGTTTAAAACTGTTTTTCTCCTCCCTCCACCCCCGCCAATAGGATTCAGTTCCTTATTGCTTCACTTTCGCATACTTTTATATAAAGTGGAAACATACATGTAGCCTCTAGTGAAGGACTTTCAGCACAATATATTTCAGATTTATCCAAGATGTTATATGTATTTGTTGTTTTTCATGTTTTTTTCTAACCAGTAAGTGGGATTACGTTGTATGGTGTCCATGGTTTTCTTTTGCTTTAATTTTTGTTTGAAGGATCAAAACTCTCAGAAGTAGTTGTAAAAAGTAGTGCAAGACAATCCCATACAGCCTTCCCGAAGTTTCCCCAGTGATAACATGGTACATGAGACATTGACATTGGTACAGTACTAGCTATAGTCCATACTCCCAATCTATAACACAACTGGCCCCTGAGCCTTATTCAGAGTTTTGCTAGTTCTTACATGCACTCATTTATGTGTCGTGTATGCAGTTATTTTATGCACTACACATACATCATCACTACAAATAGATGTTGAATTCTTCACAGTGCCAAGGAACCCTCTCTTTTGTTTTATCTTATTATACTCTGAGTCTGCCCCTTTTCCATTCATCTCCCTTGGAAAATATTAATTTTTTCTTTCCATTTGTAATATTCTCACATTTTAAGTAGATTATGTAGGTTACAGTGTGGTAATATGCATAATGTGTGATACCATTATGTAACCTTCTGAGTTTAACATTTTAATATACTACAGTATTTATGCAATTTGTTACATCCATCAATAGTCCATTCCTTATTATTATGGAATATTATTCCCTGGTATGGATGTGTCCATTTCTAAAAACTGAATGAAAAAATGTTTTGTATCTATTTTCCTTCACAGAAACTTTGGAGTTATATTAAATATTGCCAAAGTAATGATAAAAATACATTATTTAAATATACTAAAATAATTTAGGTGAAAATATTAACATGCGTAATTTTTCTTTTTCATAGGAATCTTTGCTATAGAGATTTCTGACATGCAAAAAGATTCTTCACATCCTTGGGAAAGGTCAAAGTTAAAAACTGATTTTTTCTATATGATTGCATTTATCTTTGAATGCTTAACAATGTTGAATGTACTTCATGCCTCTGAATTTCTGTTCTCCTGTGCCATATTGCAGTGATCTGAAATGTCTTATGAGCCAAAAATGCATATGGCTTTTTCTATCCACACAGTAATAGTGAGTGTAAAATCTGCTTGCTTCACTATTAATATTATTTTGTCAACTATCCAAATCAAATAAAGAAAATTATAAAAAGAAGGAAAAGTATTTTTACAAAATGGATTTCCTTTCCTTTCTCAATACTTAAATAATTGGTTAGTAAAAAATTTTCTTTGTGATTCATACTTTCATGGCTTGAGAAGTTATGCCAGTTTACCAATACTTGCCTGGGACCTAACATTCCATTGTGGAACCAGCCTGACATAATTTCCAGGCCATAATCAGACTTCAAAGCAGCAGATAGTAAGAATATGTCAGCATTAAAAACTCCATAGTATTGTACCTTTAAATAACATACATTTTCTACAATTGTGTTTGCCCTACTATTTTTAGAAAGGTAGGTGATGCTATCCATGTTTAGAATGTGAGCTTTTTTAAAATCTGTATTTTAAATAAGTTTTCTTTAAAATATTAAAGTATTGCAATCAACTTAATTGCCATTTTATTTATTTTTGCCTATAATAGTTATATATAATGTAGAATAATAAGTTTAGTCATGTTTCATTATTTCCTCTAAAGTCTCTTAAATCTCTTACCTTTTCTGTCCACAGATGGATTTAATGTTGATATTACAGCCCGAACACTACTGTATTTTACTGATGCTTGTATTCTTGCCATTTAATAAAAAAATCAGCCCTCTCATTGATAGCACATATGATGTATATAATTTCTCATTTCATATAGTCACTGTGAAATATGACTGCAGTAAATAAGATAGTGCCCCAATTCAGGTCCTGTTTAATCACTAGTATACTGATATTTACTATAAATTCACGGTCACGGTCCTCCCGTTGTTCATCGATTTGCTCGAGCAGGCCCAGTAACATCCTCCATTTTTTGAGACTTGTTGTTACTGTGTTTGGCATACTACATTTAATTTTTATTTTGAATTTTAAGAATGTTTAGGTTTATCCATCTAGCCTAACATAGTCATTAGAGGTTGTTTTAAAAAATAAATAATTTAAAATAAGATGACCTTCCTTTTAATTAGTCAAAGGGATAATGAAAAATACTAGCTGATCTCTCCTATCTGTGGTGTATAGAGACAAAATAAGGGAATAAAGGATATCAGTGACATACTCTTGGTCTTGGATTATGAAGACAAATTGCCAAGCATGGTTGGGGGCATGGCGGGGGGAGTGGAACGAGATGAGGTGGGTCAGAGGTGACTTATGGAGTGTAGACGGGGCCCATGGGCATCTTGTGGTGTGCGTGGGGGGGTTGTGCCTTGGACTTTGACATCAAAACAGTAGTACAAAACAGTAGTACTACAAAAACAGTAGTACTACTATAGTCATATTAATAATAATAACTACAATAAAATAAGGTATATATATTTAAAATAGTAAAATATAATGCTCTTTATAAAACTTTTGGAGAATAGCATGCCACAAGTACTTCTTGCTAAAAGTTAATATGTAAATAAATATGCAGAATTTATCTTTGTAAGGTGATGCAAAGACCAAATCGTTAGCTCACTAGAGCATTAGTGTTATTGTGTCCACTTCCTAAAAAAACTGACAACTGAATATTGCCTATCATGCATATTTCTTTATTTAGTAAAACAAGATAGTTTTATGAATGAAACTTATTTAGAAAGATGTGAGGGGAATGGAAGAGCGGAAGAGAACACAGACTTCTCTAGAGTGGAAAAAGCAAGAGATATGGAGATAAGCAAGCTAGGTGTGTGTTCAAAGGAGAACATGCGCTTGAAGAGCAAGCCCATTATGCATCTTTCACATGTTGTTTGTGGCAGGGAGGATGAGGATGAGATCAATGATAAAGGAAGCCTGTAAGAAAAATACCTTAAAACATGGTTAAATGAATATTGTACTTGACTTTTGCCATAATTACAGAACATTAAAAAGGAGAATTTAGGGGCCAGAGAGATAGAGAGAGGTTATGACACTTGCCTTGCATGCAGTTCAATCTCTGGTACCACATTACGTACTCTGAGCACTGCCAGAGGTCACTCCTGAGTTCAGAGCTGCCGGTAGCAGGCCAGGTGCGGCCAAAAGCACAAAAATAAATACAAGAATAAAAGTTAAAGGTAAAGGCCCTCCCGTTGATGGTCGATTTGCTCGAGCGGGCCCAGTAACGTCTCCATTGGAGACTTTGTTGTTACTGTGTCCGGCATATCGAATACTCTCGGTAGCTTGCCGGGCTCTCCGAGAGGGGTGGAGGAATCGAACTCGGGTCGGCCATGTTGGCCGCTTGTAAGGCGAACGCCCTACCCGCTGTGCTATCGCTCCAGCAAATAAAAGAATAAGAGGTAAATATTAAGGATTAGTGTTATCCAATTGTAGAAAAACCTCAGATATATTCTTATGAATATAATCCTTTCTTGAATACAATTCTTGCCTAACACAAGAAAACAGCACAATAGCACAAAAGTATATTGAAGCCATTCTTCTTTTTATTGACAAAATCTATTTTTCTGCTTTGAAATGTCATGTTCCATACAAAACAAGCATTGTTAACCCTCTGAGTTAAATATCTCTTAGGCATTAAGTCTGAATACATCTAAACCAAGTTAAATACTCTTCCCTCCTTTTCCCCCCTGCCTTTGTTTCCTAGCTTAGAGTGCCACCAGCCACCATTGACTTAGAGACCTAAACATTGAGTCCAACTGCCATCCCAGATCACCCCCTTCCCTTTTCACACAATATATTCAATGCACTGAAGTGTCACTACAGCACAGCATTGCTGAATGAAAATAAAGATGTACATGTAAGAGTCCCTTAGGTCCGAGGATTGAGAGGTTTACTATTGTTACGATGATATGGTCTCAAACCATCTTCAGATTAAAAACACATCTTTGTTGAAATCTCAGTGGCGCTCATTTTATGTGTGTTAGAAAAATGAAAAAACTTGCTATAAAATTTATATGAAATCATAAGGACCCAGAATAGGCTAAACAGTCTTGAAGAAGAATGAAGTTGTGGGGATGGGGTCTAAATTTCTAATTTCAAAAGTTGGTACTAAATTGCAGTCATCAAATTAGAGTTCTACCTGCATAAAGACAGGTGTGGATCAAGGGATTAAAATGAAGCCCTTTCACTTATATATGGCCTCTTAATTTTCAGCAAGGGTGTCAAGATCTTTCAGTTGGGAAAGAATGATATCTTTACAAATAATGCTGTTAAACTGGATAGCCAAAAACAAAAAGAATTTAGACCCTAACTTCATACAAAATGGATCACTTATCCAGATTTAAGTGCCAAACTGTGAAACTTCAAAAAATACATATGTCTTTGTACTTACTTTGAATTTCACAATAGTTTTTAAAAATATGACGTGACAAGCAGCATAAAAATATATAATTGGATTTCATCAGAATTTAAAACATCAAGAATAGATAATCAGATTTTATCAGAATTTTAACTTTGAGCATTAAAGGATACTGTCCAGAAAGTGAAAGACAATCCAATAATAAGAAAATATTTACAAATCATGTCTGATAAAGTTGTGTTTCCAAAATGTTAAAGGTTTTTACTCCAAGAATAAAACAATCAATCTAAAAATGGCAAAGGACTTTTTCAGAGAAGATATAGGAATAAAGAGCCAGTGAAAAAACACTTGCTATTCGTCAGGATCATGGAAAGCAAAAAACCCTCATAACATACTGATTTGCATGACTAAGGTGGCTATAATAGAAAAGATGGTCAGTAACAAATATTGATGAGAATTGGAAAAATTTGAGCCCTCTTATTATTGCTGGGTTAATGGGAAATGACTCAGTCACTGAAAAACAGTTTGATAGATCCTCAGTAAGTTAAACATTGATTTACCATATGAACAAGATGCTCTGTTTGTAGGTATATAACCAAAGGAAGTGTGTTCAGACTAAATTTGCATGAATATCCATAATCATTCACAAAAGATGGAAAGCACCCAAATGTCCAATAATGGAATAAAATAACCCCAAATATTCCCCTACAATGAAATGGTTTTCAGTCATAAGTATGAATGAAGTGTTTATACAGGGATCATCAAAAATGGATTGCCATTGGAAACACTGAACCAAGTAAAAGAATCCAGACACAAGACTCATATTTTCTTTATTGAGATGAAATATTCTGATTAGGTATATCCCTCGGGACAGAAGGCAGAGCAGTGATTCCTAGTTCCCAGCAGACAAGGGGGCTGTTTAGTGGGTGCAGTTTGCATTGGGTGAGGAATGAGTTCTGGAATTAGATTACCAATAACCAACTGTAATGGTTATTAACGTTGTGAATGTAGTGGTATCATTGAATTGTACAATTAAAATCGTTTTTACAGTTTTAACTTTTAAGTTTTGACAGCAGTAAAAATGATATGTTCTCAAGCTTTCTCTAACTCACCATACAGTTAGATTGAGTCAGATTCCCCTATAACAGCACCCAGTATTTCTCCTTTGAGTAATCTGTTACAGTTGCATTTATTTTTATAATTTGTATTTAATATCTGTCTTTTTTTCCTGTGGTCTCACATCTATTAGGAAAGGGGTTCAAACTGTCTTTTGGATTGAATCTCCTGGTCTTCTGGTCATTGTACAATGCTTGACATACATTAAATGTTCTGTAAATATTTAGGGAACAAATAAATGAATTATACCCATTTCTTGATGATTCTACCTCCAATATCTTCTTTTTTTCTTTTTTTAACTTTAAAGAATTTTTATTGAATCACCATGAGAACAGTCACAAAGCTTTAAGGTTTAAGTCTCGGTCATACAATGATCAAACACCCATCTCTTCACCAGTGCACATGTGTTCCACCACCAAGAACACCAATATACCTCCATACCACCCCTCCCACTGCTTGTGTGTCAGATGTTTTTCACTTTACTCTCTCTTTACCTTGATTACATTCAACTTTTTGACAGAATACCCACTATTTTTTTTTTTTTTTGCTTTTTGGGTCACACCTGGCGATGCTTAGAGGTTATTCCTGACTTTGCACTCAGAAATCACTCCTGGTGGTGCTCAGGGGACCACATGGATGCTGTGAATCTAACCTGGGTCAGCTGCATGCATGGCAAATGCCCTACCTGCTATGCTATCACTCCAGCCCCAAGGCCCACTATTATTATTTGGAATTTTCCCCCAACAATCAGACCTGCCAAAAAGGCATCATTAGATAATTTGTTTTCTATTGCTGATAATGAAGAGCATATGATGCGGCCACTATTGCAGTCGCATGATTTCGGATTTCTGGTATTTTAGTAATTAAGTCCAGAGGGATTTCTGCCAGAAGCTGCTTTTTCCGAGATTGGTTTGTGTGCCTCTGGGTTCATGGCTGTTCAGGAGTGGAGGAGCCGTTAGTGGGCAGCAACTCGGGTCTCATCGGGGCAGGGAGAAGGACCGGTTCCGCCCCCCATCCTGAGAGGCCCCACGTGCCCCATCACTGCAAGCTTGTACCTCTCTGTCCAATAGGCTCTGAAAGATGGTGGTCACCATGTGGCCGCTGAGAGGAAAAGGTGGTCCAGTATCTTCTTAAATAAATCATTTTTTTTCTGTCTTACCTTAACTCACACCACAGTCACTCTAATATAGAATATGCAACATCCTCTTGTTTGCTCTCTTGGTTTCAGTCGTGGTTTCAGTCTGATCTGTATTCAAAGAAATGGTCGATTGTTTTTG